AGAACAAGGCAGATGCAGGTGTTAAACTTGAGAAGAGAGTATGAAACCTTAAAGATGAAGGACTCATAATCAGTTAAGGAACATGCAGACAGGCTGTTGAAGGTTGTGAATCAGATAAGGCTGTTGGGAAATGATTTGCCTGATAGGAGGATTGTGGAAAAAGTGGTGGTCAGCCTAATTGAAAATTTTGAGGCAAAGATCTCTACTCTTAAAGACTTAAGGGACCTGTCCACCATAACATTATCAAAACTGGTAAATGCTCTTCTAGCCACAGAACAGAGAAGATTGTTGAGGCAAGAAGAACAGGTAGAAGGAGCTTTATTTGCCAAAGGAAAGCATAAAGCTCAAACAAGTTTTGGTACAAGGAAGCAGCAAAATGAAAAGAAGAAGGTGGAAAACAACAAAAGTGCTAGCAAAAGCGGAGTTTATCCTCCCTATGTCCATTGTAAAAAGACAGTACACTCTCCAAAATGGTGCTGGTTTAGGCCTGATGTTCATTGCCGAAGTTGTATGCAATTTGAACACATTTAAAAAGTTTGTGAAAGCTTAAAAGATAAGGAAGCAAAGCCTCAAGCACAGATGGCTGAAAATCAGCAACAACATCAGGAAGAACATCTGTTTACTGCTATCAATTTTAAAGTCGCAACAATGTTGAAACTTGGTTGCTGGATAGTGGTTGTAATCACCATATGACATTAGATCCCAGTATCTTTGTTGAGCTGAATAACACTTACAGATCAAAGGTCAAGGTTGGCAATGGAGAACGTGTGGAAGTAAAGGGAATCGGTGTGGTTTCAGTGCAAACACCATCAGGTACCAAACTTATCACTGATGTTCTTTATGTGCCTGATATAGACTCGAACTTAATTAGTGTTGGCCAATTGATTGAGAAGCAATATACCTTGATTTTTAAAGGAAATGGTTGTACTATATTAAACTCAAATGATCATGAATTGATGTCTGTTGAGATGAAGCAAAGAAGTTTTCCTTTAAAATGGAAAAATGTGATCCCTCATACATACTCAAGTTCGACTGATGAGTCCTCACTTTGGCACAAACGATTTGGTCATGCAAACTATACATCACTGAAACAATTGCAGAAACTAGGACTTGTTGAAAATATTCCAGCTATATGTGATGAATCTTGTGTGTGTGATGTATGTCAAAGGGGTAAACAGACCAAAATGCCATTTCCTAAAAACCAGTCAAGGAGATCCTCGAATAAGCTGGATTTGATACATTCAGATGTGTCTGGTCCAATGAGAACACAAACACTCAATGGCAGCAAATACTTTGTACTCTTTATTGATGATTTAACAAGGATGTGCTGGGTTTATTTCTTAAAATCAAAATATGAGGTTGCAGCCACATTTCAAAAGTTCAAGAATCTGGTGGAAAATGAGAGTGATTGTAAAATCAAGGCCATTAGAACAGATAATGGGACTGCGTATAGATGTGGTTAATTTGATATATTTTGTAATGATATGGGAATCAAGCATTAGCTGACAATTCCATATTCTTCTCAGCAAAATGGTGTATGTGAGAGGAAAAACATGATAGTGATGGAGATGGCTAGATGCCTAATGATTGAGAAGAATTTTCCTAGGGAATTCTGGGCAAAAGCTGTAAATACAGCTATATATCTTCTAAACAAACTTCCTACTAAAGCATTAGATAGAAGAACACTTTATGAAGCTGGTATGGAATTAAACCTGATGTTGCACATTTGAAAGTGTTTGGAAGCATTTGTTACACTCACATACCTGATTCAAAAAGAGATAAGCTTAGCCAAAAAGCAGAAGTTGGTGTTTTGGTTGGTTATCGTAGCAATGCAAAAGGGTATAGAGTGTTCATTCCAAAACCAAGAAAATTATATCCAACAGGGATATTAAAGTGGATGAAGGAGCTTCATGGAATTGGGAAGCAAGTAACTTGGAAAAATTGCAAGTTCCAAGGCTGGTTGCTCATGGAAATGAAGACACCATCACAAATGAGGATGAACCAGATGGTCCAAATCATGATAGTGACATAGATTATGAGAATATTATGTTAAGAACCAGGCCTCTTGCTGATGTATATGCAAAATGTAACTCAGTCGTGCTAGAGCCATCAAATTTTATTGAAGCTATGAGTTCACAAGAATGATTGGTTGCAATGAAGAAGGAACTAAAAATGATTGAAAAGAATGAGACTTGGGAGCTGGTTGACAGACCAAAGGATAAAAATGTGATTGGAGTTAAATGGGTGTTCAAAACCAAGATGAATTCTGATGTATCTATCAATAAATTCAAAGCTAGATTAGTGGTGAAGGGTTATACATAGTAGTATGGAGTTGATTTTGCTGATACATTTGCTCCAGTTGCAAGATATGAAACCATAAGATTGCTATTTGCAATTGCAGTTCAAAGAGAGTGGAAGATACACCAGTTGGATGTAAAGTCTGCCTTCCTAAATAGATACCTGAATGAAGTAATAGACATTGAACAACCTAAAGGTTTCTCTGTGGCAAAGGAAGAAGATAAGGTGTATTTGATGAAAAAGGCTTTGTATGGTTTGAAGCAGGCTCCAAGAGCCTAGCATAGCACGATTGATGATTACTTAAGCTGCCTT